TTAAGTATAAGTTTTACTGCAAGGTCAAAATAAAATGATGTGTACTGCAGAGCCAGACAGCCCTTATAGAAAAGCAGTTTATGTATACACTTTGTGGCTGCAGTATAAAAAGTGTAGGCGTGTTTTTGGAGGGAGAGCAGAGATGCAGGCTGAGTTCAATGCTGAAAGGCTGCCTTATTTAGGAAGTGCCAATAGGAAGTGGTTTAACCACAGAAACAATTTAAGACTGCCAGGGCTCTATAGCCAAAGGCTTCAGGCACAACAACTGTGAAACTGACATTTAAATAAGACGCTGAGGATTCATTGTTGGTGTAGTTTGCGGCTGAATGTTTACAAAGCCTGACAAAAAGTTATTTGTTTCTAACTTTTTGACCTACAGAAAAAACCCAACGTCAAAGATAAACTTAATACGTACATTGACACAAACTAGTACAAATAGGACACTGCATTTCTAACCACATAGAAGCTGCTTTTGGCTGCATTTTGAACTTCACAAGACTGCGAATTTGTTTATAATGTTGCACATGTTGTACTTGTATCCAGGATAATCACAGACCAGTGTGTTAACATTTCAGTTACTGGTTTTATGACAAATAAAATGACTTCACCTCAAATATAATCTCCATTCAACCCATTTTGTTGTGCGGGTGTAACAGTGATGATTTAGGTGGGTGTGTAAAAATAAAGGAGTGTACTTATACTTATACTTTTCGTCCAAACCACAGCACTGAGACTGCTCTTGTAAAGGTCTTTAATGACATCCACTTAAACACAGACAGTGGCAGAACTTCAGTGTTAGTATTATTAGATCTCAGTGCTGCGTTTGACACTGTTGACCACAGCATATTACTAGACCGACTGGAGAACTGGGTGGGACTTTCGGAAACAGTTCTGAATTGGTTTGAATCCTACTTAAAGGACAGAAACAACTTTGTTTCTATAGGTAAATACACATCTGAGTTGACAAATATGACATGTGGGGTTCCTCAAGGCTCCATCTTGGGGCCTCTTCTCTTTAACATCTACATGCTGGCTCAGATAATGAAGAACAACAAAATAAGTTACCATAGCTATGCAGATGACACACAAATTTACGTAACAATTTCACCAGAAGACTATGCTCCAATTCAAACACTGAGTAAGTGCATTGAACAAATCAATGACTGGATGTGTCAGAACTTTCTCCAATTAAACAAAGATAAAACTGAGGTAATGGTTTTTGGAGCCAAGGCAGAACGTATAAAAGTTAGCGCTGAGCTTCAGTCTGCAATGTTCAAAACAACAGATAAAGCCAGAAATCTAGGTGTAGTCATGGACTCTGACCTGAGTTTCAACAGTCACATTAAAACTGTTACTAAATCAGCCTACTATCACCTAAAGAATATATCTAGGATTAAAAGACTAATGTCACAGCAGGATTTGGAAAAACTTGTCCATGCTTTTATCTTCAATAGACTCGACTACTGCAATGGTGTCTTCACAGGTCTCACTAAAAAATCTATTAGGAAGCTGCAGCTAATTCAGAACGCTGCTGCTCGAGTCCTCACTGACACTAAGAAAGTGGATCACATCACTCCAGTTCTGAAGTCTTTACACTGGCTTCCTGTGTGTCAAAGAATAGATTTCAAAATACTGCTGCTGATTTATAAAGCACTGAATGGTTTAGGCCCAAAATACATTTCTGACCTCCTGCTAAATTATGAACCATCCAGATCTCTCAGGTCTTCAGGGACTGGTCAGCTTTCTGTCCCCAGAGTCAGAACTAAACATGGTAAAGCAGCGTTCAGTTATTATGCTCCAAATATCTGGAACAAACTCCCAGAACCTGCAGGTCCGCTGCAACTCTGACTACTTTTAAATCCAGGCTGAAGACTTTTCTTTTTGTCGCTGCTTTTAATTGAACTATTCATATCTTAGACTGCACTGTAACTTTTATCCATGTACTTTTTTCTTTTAATGTTTAATTGCACTGTAACTTTTATCCATGTATTTTTTCTTTTAATGTTTATTTTATTAGCTTTCTTTTTAATGACTGATTTTAAATGCCATTTTCTTAATCTCTTTCATTTTTTGTAAAGCACTTTGAATTGCCTTGTGTTGAAAAGTGCTATATAAATAAACTTGCCTTGCCTTGCCTTATGCAATTAATCATAGTTTTTTATGATGAACTTCAATAAAAAAGGAGAAAACACTTTGTCTGTAAATATTAATACAGACAAAGTTGAATGTGTCTTATTTGTGATATCGAAAAGTGAAATTGTGAAAGGAAGAGGAAAGTGTTTATGTGTGTGAGAGCAGGAAGCCACTCCGCTGCTGAATTAGTCATATAGAGATGCACTGCAGGAGCAACAAGTATAACTTGCTGCACCAAAAGAAACCAGTCATTATATACACCCAAAAAACCAAAATGATTTTAAATCTGAAGTCTCAGAAAATAGGTTGTAATTTAAAAAACAAACAGCATCATATGGTTAGATTTAGTTAAGACGGTTGGCTCTGTAGTTCAGTTTTTGTGATTTATCCTACCTGATCGAGCTCCTCGGAGCCTGAACAGCACTCTGGAGCGAAATCCTGAAGTGTCACTTAGGGAGCGAAACCTGGGAAGAGGCCACGGCACAGAAAAATGCTTCATCTCTGGGTGGGTGTCACCCTCCTCTTCCATGGTCTCCTCCTCTGTCAGCCTGCAGGACTGTGAAGCAGACTCACAGTGACAAGAAGACGAGACCAACCTCACTTGAACCTTATTTACATCAGCAGCAGCCTGCCAACAACTCCTCCTCCTCCTCCTCCTCCTCCACTCACTCAGTCAAACTTTTATTCTGCAGCTGACAAACGGACTGTGTGTGTGTGCGTGCGTGTGTGTGTGTGTGTTACTGCTTGTTTACAGCAAGGTGTCTGGTTGGTGAGTCGCCCTCTCTCCTCTTGGGTTGCTTGGCTCTACTAGATCTGGGTTTGTGTGTCTTTGCTTTATATACTGGTACATGTTCACACACTACACACAGTACTGATTAACTGACTTCATAATTAACTTAGTTTCTTTAAATAAATGCACTTTAATTGGATATGAATCATGTGTGGTCTGCTTCTTTTGTCCATCCTTGAGCCAGGGCGTGACAACAGGTTTGAAGTGTGATCTGACTACACAGTGGAAGGTGATAGTGGCTGCATGCCCATGATATGAGTGATGGCTGAACCTATTCTTTTAAAAATGATAAGTGTATATAATGCAATGCAGGATATTTGCAATAAACAAATAAAGCACTTAAAGGCTAACCTCACCTGTATGGATTTGCATCACTTCTCCCATTAGTGTCATTTTTGCTTTGCTTGCATGACAAATCTATTTCTTTAATACATCCTGGGCCTCTGATGCAGGTGTTTGAAATTGTCAAGGCATTATCTTTAGGAAGTGAGGACGCCTCCAGCTGTTGGCAACACAAAACAAAAACATTTTTGAAGTATTTAGATGCAGGGCCTTAACTCCTGGAACACCAGTGTTAAAAGAATGATCTTGTTATTATAGTTAGTCAAATGTGTGTTTGCTTAAAGGCAAGGCAAGGCAAGTTTATTTATATAGCACCTTTCAACACAAGGCAATTCAAAGTGCTTTACAAAAATGAAAGACATTAAGAGCATTAAGAAACATATCATAAAATGATATCTAAAAACACTAATTTAAAAGCAAAGATAAAAAGAAAAGATAATAAAAGTTACAGTGCTGTTTAAGATATGAATATATCAATTAAAAGCAGCGGCAAAAAGAAAAGTCTTCAGCCTGGATTTAAAATTCAGAGTTGCAGCGGACCTGCAGGTTTCTGGGAGTTTGTTCCAGATATTTGGAGCATAATAACTGAACGCTGCTTCTCCATGTTTAGTTCTGACTCTGGGGACAGAAAGCTGACCAGTCCCTGAAGACCTGAGAGATCTGGATGGTTCATAATTTAGCAGGAGGTCAGAAATGTATTTTGGGCCTAAACCATTCAATGCTTTATAAACCAGCAGCAGTATTTTTGAAATCTATTCTTTGACACACAGGAAGCCAGTGTAAAGACTTCAGAACAGGAGTGATGTGATCCACTTTCTTAGTGTTAGTGAGGACTCGATCAGCGGCGTTCTGAATCAGCTGCAGCTTTCTAATGGATTTTTTAGTGAGACCTGTGAAGACACCATTGCAGTAGTCGAGTCTACTGAAGATAAAAGAATGGACAAGTTTTTCCAAATCCTGCTGTGACATTAGTCTTTTAATCCTAGATATATTCTTTAGGTGATAGTAGGCTGATTTAGTAACAGTTTTAATGTGACTGTTGAAACTCAGGTCAGAGTCCATGACTACACCTAGATTTCTGGCTTTAAAGGGACATTTGATTTGTGAAGTGGCTTACCGATAGACAAACCAAAATGACTGCAGCTTTTAAACGTTGAATGTCGCTAAGTAAAGTCCCCACTCTATTATCCATATGTTGAGACTCAGTCTCAATATGCAAATTGCATATATAATATGCAAATTGAATATTCCAGACATTATCTGGAATATTGTCTGCTTACTGTAAGCAGACAATATTCCAGATAATGTCTAAGAATAAGCAGAATAATTAAATTAGTGCCAGTTTGTTATTATAATTATAACAGGCTGATTAGAGACATATCTAATTCAGTTAGAACAATTCTTCTTCTAGGACTATTTATTTAGTAATTGTTTTTTTTAATAATTTACTTGTAACGCGTCTTTGAGTACAAGGAAAAGCGCTAAATAAATGTTAGGTATTATTATTAATAGTTTTAAAAGTTTATGAATATTCCCCGAATAAGAATAAAGTATATTTGTTGGCTAATCATTATTGGCGATGTAAAGACTCAACATGTTAAAAAGTAGGGATTGAATTTGGGTTTAGTGTTATGATTTGAGTTTTTTCTAAACCCCTGGTTTTGGCCCTTACTACCAACCACATCTTCTATATTTGTTTAAACACCAGAGTGATCATCTTCACTATACACCATCTATGCTCGCCTCTCACCAGTAGCAGAAGCAGCAGCAGCAGCTCTGTCTGGATCAGTGGAGATGGGCTGAGGCAGAGACCCGACAACACCGAGACCAACACCCGCTGACTTCAGCAGTTACAGGAGGGAACACTCGGGTAAGATGACCCGTAATGTTTAACAAAAGTAGATAAACTAATACACATGGGTTCCGTGAAGCTAAACATGCCAGTTATATTTAACGGGACTAGCTAAGGCGAGTCTCCAACGGTAGCTAGGTTATCGTGTAAGACTAAACTTCTCAGCCAGTTAGCTAACGTATGGTTGGTAGCATGTGGCAGTTTTAAGTGACAAATGAATACCATTTTGAATGTTTTGTTTTACAAGTTTGAGACGTGAATAAACAGTAGTTGCTAACAACGAGCTAACCTGAACCGTGTTTCCCAGTTAACTTCAGGCCAGAGTCCCTGATGCTGCTAACACTAATGTTGTCAACGTGTTGTGGTATTCTGACGTTAGCTAGCTCAAACGTTAGCTATCTGTCATTCTAACGTAAAGTGTTATTTTAACGTTAAACTGCTCAGAATGTGGAAGCTCGTCGGTTTTAGGTAAAGGTGGAAGAAGTACTCAGATATTGTATTTGAGTAAAAATAGAAGTCCCAGAGTGTAGGAATACTCAGTTATAAGTAAAAGTCCTGCATTCAAAATTACTTGAGTAAAAGTATTAGCGTCAGAATATACTTAAAGTACCAACATTAAAAGTACTTATTATACAAATCGGTCCATTTCAGAATAATATATATTATGTGTTTTCATGTTAATCATTGATGCATTAAAGTGTTATCAAAGCTGGTAAAGGTGGAGCTAGTTTTAATGACTTTGTACACTTCAGGGTGATTGGGAATGTTACTCCAGTGTAACTAAAGTCGTTAAGTGTTGTTTATATTTCACAACATTAATCCATATATGTAAAGTAACTAAAAGTACACTTTTAAACTCTGAATGATAGTGGGATATAAGTACAAAGTAGTAAAACATTGAAATACTCAAGTAAAATACAAGTCTCTTAGAATTGTACTTAAGTGCAGAGTTTGAGTAAATCTACTTAGTTACTTTACACCACTGGTTTAAGGTCGTAATTCAAGAGTCAGTGCTACTAGTTAACCCTCTACTGAATATCTACATTTTGTGCAGCTCTTGAAATGAAAACCCCACAAGAGCATTTAGCTGTGATAAACAAGACCCCGCCTGACTGAGTAAATGAGGCCAAAAGCCTGTAAAACCTGCTTTAGAGAAAGACTCTAACCAACAATTACTTCTTTTTTTTTTAATGGAAATGACTTGTCCCACCATTCACCTGTAGAGTACCAATACATTAAGCTTATTAAGCTTACATGTATACCTCAGTGCTTAATCTCATAGAGAATGATTTCATTTGTCCTCAAACTAAATGCTTAGTTAGTACTACTTTACTGCACAATGAAATGTGATCTCGTTAACACCTAGATTAGTGATTTGTAAGTAGGCATTAAAACATTTAAGCTTCTCCTTCACATTTATTTCCAGCTGTTGTTTGGATTTGATGACACAGCAGTAGCCTTAAACCATGGAAATAAACTATTGACCCTCTGCTGGGAAACCCAGCTGGTCCCAACTGTTGTTTTATGACTTGTCTTGTGTGACCAGTTGGCCGGCATGTGATGTGGACTAAGCCTTGCAGTAAATGTAAAGACTCGGACTGAGCTTATCTTTGCTGTCTCATGGTTCTGACTCTGCATACTTTCAGGTATTACTTGTTACAGTATTTCTTGCATCATAAAGGAAGTGCTGGTCTTTTTTTAATTTATTTTTTTATCCTTTATTTATCCAGGAATGTCCCATTGAGATACAAGATCTCTTCTTCCAGGGAGTCCTTTAACCTCCCACTTGTGAGCACACAGAATGAGTTCATTTGTACATTACTAACCTGGCAATGATCTGTTTTTAAAGTATCCTGGTTATGTGCTTGAGCATTCAGACATCATATCATGGCTTCAGAAACCAAGATATGACTACTCAAATAGAAACTAGGATAGTGTGGATTTGTCCTCAACATAATGGATAGATAACACAAGTAATACATCTATAAAAAGCCAATAGCCGCATTCACACCGCAGTACTTTTCCCACTTTAGTTCCGAAATGTCACGTTCACACCAAAAAGAGCCGGAACTCAAATTAGTTCATCAGAACCTTTTTACCCCCTTTTCCGTCCCTGATAGAGAGCAGGTACTTTCGTGGGAGAAAAAGCTTCCTATTGGCTCGGCGGATTGCAAACCACGCCCCCCGTAAAACTCCAAAAAAGTTTTGTGAAGCCGCCATTTTATTATCCTTGCATTAGCATTATTAGCATTAGCTCAGCGCACAAACGCAGAGAGACTAACTTATGGCAACACAAAAGAAAACATGGGAGATGAGGAGGTGTCGGCGTTCTGGCGATTTACTCGGAAGGCTTCAGTAGAAGCTGCTGGGAGTCCCAGCAGCTTCTACTGAAGCCAATCCCCAACTCCGGGGACTTCCGGCCGGGGACTTCGGGTGGCAGTATACGCCGTGAAGTTGTTTGCGGCCTGCCAGTAAACCCAAAAGCAGCTTAAGAAGAAGAAGTGACGTCAGCGGCTTCATTTGACTAATCCCCCCTCAGGAACTTATTCCGGTGTGAACGCGATCTGTATTTAGTCCTCATGAACTAAATAGTTCTCATGAGAACTAAATAGTTCTCATGAGAACTATTTAGTTCATGAGAACTAAATAGTTCTCATGAACTAAGTTCTCATGAACCTTTGTGGGAAAAGTACTGCGGTGTGAATGCGCCTAAAGTAAGATTTCTATGCATTTGTATTGTCAATTTGTCTTTTAACTTCGCATGAATGGGGATAAGATTGCAAAGACAATTCCAAAATAGTCGTGAACTTCATGCAGTCATGTCAATCAGCCAGCTACCAAACTGAGTTTATTCCTTAACTGCTGAGGTAACTATGCCTTTATAGAGAAGACAATGATTGACTAACCCCTGCATAATGTTGTCAACTTACATATACATTTGGGTTACAACTTCATAAATCCAATATTAGTATACTTAGTATACATGTTTTCCCACACTTTGAAGGTAGCCCACCAACATATTTGTTTAATTGAATTAAAAGCAGTAGGGAACAGGGTTGCCTTTCACCTTGTTAGGATTTTGTTTTGCATTATCTCTAACATCTATTCTGCCTCACTGAAATGCATGGGCATGCATGCAGATTAACTTGTGCACATCACCTCATTTACAGGATCACTAAACTCTCCACAGAGACGTCTCTCACGGTCACATAACAATCACTGTTTGTGTGGAGCTCAGATAGTCTCCTCTGACAGAGTTGCTCTCTTCTCGTGCCTGTGATGACTCGGTAGATGCAGGGACTAACTGAGATGCTCTCAGCTCAGAGTCCATGCACAACAACCAGGCCTTTTGTCCCTGCTTTGCCCCCATCCGCCCACACAGTGCTCATAATGTCCTGGAGAAAGAGCGTCTTTATCTTTGCTTTCCAAAGACTCATCTCAATCACATATTTTAGGCTGGGTCCAAAAAAGACAGCAGTTTAAACAGTCTAATGCGACAATATGGGCACAGTAATGCTGCACCCACCCACACAGGGTTTGACATTGACATGAGTGCCTTCACACACGTAGGCCCAAACAGATGAACTATAATCATTTACTTTTTTGCTTATTTTCAGAGAGCTGTAGGTTTCAGGGATGTGTCAGGTTAAATATTGCACATTCTTTCCTGCGTGGCTCGTGAGGGGGTTTGAGTTGTTTCTTTGTGTCAAACATGGCTGAGCTTAGTGGCGTATATATATTTTTTCGACTCTGCTCAATTGGGTGCTCAGCTGTGGAGGGAGGGAGGGCGAGAGGGAGGGGATAGAAGGGGCTGGCTAGAGGCTTGCCAAATCGGATGAGAGAGCAGTTGGGAGGAGATAGCCCAGAAAGTGAGAGAGGAGAGGACTGCAAAAAAAAAGAAAGAGCAAGCCAGGGTGGGTGGAGATGTGAGTAACAGTGTTTAGGGGAGGGAAAAGAGGGACCACGGCGGGAGCAAAAGAGGAGAGAGAGTGGGTGAGGCTGATATAAGAGGATAAAGGCGGGGTTGTGGTTTGTGTCACATGATCCTCTGGCAGGCTGCAGCCCAGTGAGCTCCAGGTGGCAGAGATACAGCAGATACAGAGAGAGAGAGAGAGCAGGTCACACTAGCAAAGCCTCTCCACAAAGACAACTGCAATTCTTCTTTTCCCCTCGTGACACATCTCTCCTTCCACTCTTTCTCTGTCCTTCAGGACTTCTTCCCGGTCCCGCTTCCCCCCCCCCCCCCTATCCTCTCCAATCCCGGCCCCCGCAGGCCAGGGAATGTCCCGGCAGCGAGATGCCTTACACGGACCGACAGAACCGCACCTGTGGCTTCCTGGACATCGAAGAGAGCGAGAGCAGTGGCAAGTTCCTGCGGCGATACTTCATACTGGACACGCAGCAGGGGAGCTTGGTGTGGTTCATGGACAACCCTCAGGTAACTACACGGGGCGGTGTTAGCTTAGCTCTTAGCTTTATGTTGGAGAGCAAATCCCAAAAATAACGGCACAGGCCAAATAAACAACAATTGTAAAACTTACAGGCAACTGCATCCCAGCTAACGTTAGTGAACAGTGTGGATGATTAGCTCTCATGCGATGTAGAGTAACTGCAGGCCACTTCTAGCTAAACTGTCATCATTCATTATGAACACAAAACTAAGTACAGGCTGAATGTTTCCATTTCCAGACAGTCATACATGAATGGGAGAGTTTGTACAATTATGTAATTCTAGCTGATGGCATTAAGACCTATATTACAGGCATGGGAGTAGGTCAGGGCTAGTAGTGTATTTGTGTTTTAGCTGTTTACAGTTATTACAGTGTGACTGTCCTGTTGGCGTGTACATCATGCTGGTTTAGAGATGCTGTGTTTTTTCAAGTGCTCTGTTGTATGAAGTATTCATAAATCATGTAGTGCAAGAGCCATTTTAAATAATTCAGCAAGTCTCTTTCTTTTTATAGATTGAAAAAGCTTAAATTTTAATGATTTTAAATCTGGATCCTGTAGTTTCAGAAGCACAGAAAGAAACGATCATGGAGTAAATGTCATAGTTATATATACTTGTGCTTTAATATTGATGTCCTCTGCAGTATTTGATTACACTCTCCAAACAAATAATATGATTCACAACTAAAGCTGCTGGTAATTAGCTAGTTTTAGCTTTCAGTTTATTTATTTTCACACAGTATATTGTTCTTTTTCCCCACAGAACCTGCCTGTTGGCTCAGAGTGTGTTGGCTCCCTTAAACTCACCTACATCTCTAAGGTGAGAATACATTTTTACCACTGAAGTGCAACTGACGATACCATGATACGGTTATGCATGAATTATTACTCATTGACAGTATTTGGTTTTACTGAGTAAACTGACAAATGTGTTCTTTGTCCTCCTTTAGGTCAGCGACGCCACTAAGCTGAGGCCTAAGGCAGAATTCTGCTTCGGTAAGAAAACACTGATCATCACAGTCTTTCTATCTGTCTTTAATCTTTCAGCATTCGGCGCGTTCACACCCGAGTACTTTCCCTTTTAGTTCCGATAGTTCTTGGGATTCTGCGTTCACACCAAAAAGAGAACTTGGTTCATGAGAACTTTCCCCCCCCCTATCAGTGCCTGCTAGAGAGGTGGTACTTTCCTGGGGAGAAAAAAGTTCCAATTTCCGATTGGCTGGGCGAATTGCAAACCACGCCCCGTAAAACTCTGAAAAATGTTGTGAAGCCGTCATTGTATTTGCTGGCATTAGCATTATTAGCATTAGCCCAGCGCACCAACGGAGAGAGATTAACTTATGGCAACACAAAAAAAAAACATGGGAGCGGTGGAGATGAGGCGGTGTCGGCGCTTCTGGCGATTTACTCGGAAGGCTTCAGTAGAAGCTGCTGGGAGTCCCAGCAGCTTCTACTGAAGCCAGTCCCCGACTCCGGGTGGCAGTATACGCCGTGAAGTTGTTTGTAGCCTGCCAGTAAACCCAAAGCAGAAGAAGTGACGTCTGCGGCTTCATTTGGGTGATCTTCCCTCAGGGACTTATTCTGGTGTGAACGCGATTGGCTCTTGTTACATGGGGGAACTAAGTGCTGGGAACTAAGTGCTGGGAACTAAGTGCTGGGAACTAAGTGCTGGGAACTAAGTGCTGGGAACTAAGTCCGGCAAAGTACTTGGTGTGAAAGCGGCTCTTGGGAACACTCATTTGGGTCAAATGATATACCTTATAAAGAAAGATTTCACTGGTTTCTCTTACAGTCGAATTCCTTTAACATTTACATTAGGAGTAGCTAATGTGTTTTGGAAAATATGCTTGACATTATGAGTCATATTAAGCAGTGAATCAACTTTTTCTAATAAACTTGTTTGGAACTTGCCTGCAGTGCGTTGCTAACAGCAGCAGTGGTGGTGTGATTTATCACATGTTGACTAAGCTAAGTACACCTAATATAACCTAAGGGAGAAATGTTTACTGTCCTTCCTCAACCTCTAAGCCCTTTTCAGCCCTGCTCTCTACAAACTCTCTCCACCATTGACCAGGCAGCCTACACCATCTGTTTAGCCAACACACAAAGATGCTGGAGGCTGCAGCAGCTAGTGATCCGTGTTAGGTTCAACTATTTTAGTAATGCTTTTGGATTACTTAACCTTAAACAACCTGATGCGTCTCTTGGATTATGTCTTTAAATCTGAAGCCCAGCAATTGGACATTTCTCCATCCATATGTTGCTGCAGAGGAGCCTTTCGAAAGCATGTTGAATTCATTCCCCCCCCCAATAACATATGGATTTTTCTTAATCAGTGTTTCCGCCAGACCAGGGCTGAGAGGGCGTCCACCCCGAGCGGGGGGGGGGGGGAGGGTTTCAGGGCGTTCCGAGCTGAATAAGGGCGTCAAATGACGGCAAGATGCCCACCTGGCGGAAATGCTGTTCTAAATCGTTGTTGTTTTCATTGGCTTGTGGTCCATTATATCTTGTTATACCAATAGCCTTTGAGGTACATTACAACCGAGTAATGTTGATGCATGCAAATATGATACCTTGGATGGGTTTTGCTTGAAAATATCTAGTTTTTGAATGTCTGTTGTGAATATTTTGCAACAAAGATAGTTTGTCTTTACATTTGTCCAAACCTTCTTATCCTTTGTGGTCAAAACCAGAATGTAAATAGAATCCATTCCCAGGTCATTTAGCAGTGCACCTCCAATCCCTGTCATTGTTTACCAGCCCCTCTCCTCCTCTTCCATCTGCTTCTATAGCAGGAAGCAGTGTGATGAGCGACCGAGTCTGGCTCTGTGTGCGCACCAGTTGCCTTGTTGAGGTTTGGACAGGATGCCTGCATCCTAATCGGAACCTGATTCTGAGATGTATGAAGTTATTTTTAAACAGCCGTTTGTATGCCACATGTTTTGGTAATATCTACGAACTCTGGTGCTCCCCCTCCTCCTGCATCGAGCAACAAGAAACATAGAGCGGTGAAGTATTTAGCGACGTCCAAGTTAGTCAGACGTCACACGTACAGATGTTTTTACAGTAAGGAATAGTGACTTGATTGAAGTCTGGGATGATGATGGTTATGGGTCTGTTCCTTTTGTGTGGGGAGAGACATCAAAGCGGAGCGTCGTGTGAACTTTGCTGCTTGGCTGCGTTTCTCAGCAGCACACATTGTTTTCTCATGTCTAACTATGAGTCAGATCTGATACCCTCCCAGATTGTTCTTCCCATTGCTCAATAGACCACCACACTTTAGCTCTTCCAAACATACAAAGAACACATTTGAAGTCAAAATGAATCTGCAGACAGATTATTTTACATTGAAGTGGAAAAGAAGATGTCTTGCGTGTGTCTAAAAGCTGGACAAAAAGACCCAGAACAAGGAAGAATGATCCTCATTGTGCCACAGAGTTTTGAGCTCCCTTAGCCTTCTGCAGCTCGCCCCCCGCCAGATTTAGCAGTCCAGCTTCAATGTAATTCATTCCCGTGGTGTCAAAGAGAAATAGAAGAGACACAAGCAGGGATTGAGCTGCAGATTTATAGAAGAGAGAGAGAGAGAGAGACTTGAGTTCTTTCAGCTCCTAAATCCTGATCCATAGCTAATCAGCATTTGGCGCAAACATGTATTTTGTGATTGAAAAGGACATTTTCTCATGTTCACATGGGTGTGAAAATGTGTGAGAATATGTAATGGTTGGTTGCCATGGGCTTTTTTTCCCTCTGTCTTGGTTGGAAGAGGGAAGGTGGTGGCAGACTGAAGCAGCTGGGTCATCCTCCCAGGGTTCTTATGGCCATTAAAAACCTGGAAAGTCATGGAAATTCAAAATGCAAATTCCAGGCCTTGGAAAAGTTATGGAAAACAATATTTTTCCCAAAGTTTTGGAAAAGTCATGGAAATGTAACTGAAGTTGCATCAAATATAACTTATGTTATCTAATCGCCGAAATAGTAATACTATAACGATAATAAATACGGTATCGTAATGAAACGTAAAATGGTATTTTGCCGGTGAGAGATTTGAGTTGCTTTAGCGTGTAGAAGCTAGTAAGCCTACTATTTGATTTGTTTTAGATAGGACCAACATGTTTCATATGCAGACCTTATTTTCCTGTTCCATTTGAAAATAAACCATTTTCAGTGGTACCGCTGAGAACGAGTTATTTTTTTGGTCATGGAAAATTAGGTAAAGGTCATGGAGAAGTCATGGGTGAAAAAGTGTGTGAACCCTGTCCTCCACATGAGGGAGTGCTGCTAGTGTATGGGAGAGTCCCTTGGCCCAGTTATTGTTCACTTCCAGAGAAATCTGTGGCTGCTGACTCCCCAGCAATTAGTCAGCACCCACTTCATGCTACTCCTGTACCGTGTATTTCCTTGTGATTCTGATGATGAAGTGTCCGGAATGAAGTCTGATTGTGTCTCAATATACTTTCACTATCTTTATTGTTCCCACTGCTCTTTTTTTATGATCCATTAGTCATCAATGCTGGGATGAGGAAGTTCTTCCTGCAGGCCAACGACCAGCAGGACCTTGTGGACTGGGTTGAAGCTCTCAATAAAGCCACCAAAATCACTGTAAGACAAACACACACCTACACACACACCGACACACAGCTTACAGAGCAGAGAAGCATAAGACACCCCTCTCCTGAGTCAGCTCCACTGATCTGTTCATGTTATCACTCAGAGAAACTTTCATTCCTTCCTCTTCTGTAGAATTGAGCAGACTGTCAAGAAACTAGATATGAGTGAGTCAGAGCGTGACTAACAGGATGCTGTATTGTTGTACTGAGTGCTGGGATAAAGGACTTTTTCCATTGTTCTCCATGAGGCATAACAGAAAGGAAATTGATATTAAATGTGGTAAAGGCACACTGTTTTTCAACTATAGAGGAAACGATTTATTCTATTCTACATCTGAATTCCACAAGTTGGTCAAAATGCATGTGTTCAATAAATAACTGTCACCAAACCTCTGATGTGTGTGTTTTCCTAAGGTGCCAAAGTCGTCTGATGGGCAGCAGAATGCAGAGAACCTCAAGTCTTTGCCGGACGTCGTAGGGCCCAAGAAACAAGTCTCCTATCGGACAGAGATCATTGCAGGAGTCCCCATTGTCACCCAGACACAGGTAAACACGACACACAGGTACACCACAAGCTGTATTGACATGAATGCAGAATGTACTCGATTCAAAGATTTTAAACTTACAAGGAAACACAACAGTTACCAAATAAAGGCAGAACACTTCATATAGATTTTAATATAATATTGCTCTAAATAAAAGTAAGAGAATATAACTTTAGCCAAACACATTTGACTTTTTAAAATGTCATTCAACTATTAAAGCTATAGATTAGGCAAATATTTAGATTATTGATAAGTCATTAATCAAGCTAAATTCCCAGTTCAAAATGTTAGAATGAGCAGATTTTTTATAACAAACACTGAATATTGGTTTATGACGGTCTGTATGACAAATATTTTAAATGATCACCTTGATCTCTTAGAAAATGTTTTTCATTTTCACACATTTCTGTAATATAAATATTTACTTTTACTTTAAATTAGTCTGACATTGATTGAAGCTTTGTGGTCGTACAGTCCACGCCCTCAGACTGCGCAAAATCTGTGCTGGTGTTTTCATTTTGTATTTTGTTGGAACTAACAATTACAATCTTTCCGCTGTCCTTCACCCTGAAGCATGACAGAGGTGACGGTGCCGACAAAGCGGAGCGTGAGTCCATGCATCGCTCTCACAGCCAGCTGCCGTACTTCCTGGGCAGGCCGACTCAGGAACACACCGTCATAAAGTCCGGCTTCTGCGTCAAGCAGGGAGCGGTGGTGAGTTCACTTTGTTTCACACGGCCTGCTGGTATCGCTCAGAGATGTTTATGGTCACTCTTAAACATCTTTTGGCTGCAGCACTGGCGGCATAAAGTGCAACAAAGCACTGCATTTAGCAAACTTCAACATGGACACGCAAAGCAATTTATGATAAATATCATTGTTTCAATTAAAGTCACATAAACAAGAAGATGTATCACCTATATGTTGGAAGGATATTTAGGTCTTATGACTTGCGGAATGTCAGATGATGAGATTTCGGTTTGTTTATTGTAAAGAACAGCCTAAAGAAATGAAGCCACTGTGATAAATCATCCTCCTCTTTATGTATTTCGGCATTGTAAAATGTGTCTAGGACTAGATTATAACTAGAATGAAATTAGTGCTTATATTCTTGTAGCAATTTGGAAAATGTGGCATATTGTTTGCTTTGAAAATATGCAAAATGTCTGAATATCTTTTCCTTTTTTTTCTCCAGATGAGGAACTGGAAAAGGCGGTATTTCCTCCTGGAGGAAAACTCAATGAGTTACTTCAAGTCAGATTTGGTAATTAACTTTGATTAAGTGTTGTTTAGCCTTAGGGAATGTTTGTATTGATGATGAATGAGGTTATGGATGCACCCCCACAGTCTGAGGCAGAGTAACAGCAAACACACAGACCTGCGTTCCAACATGTTTTATCTGCAGCCTGTGGAATTCAATGCTTTCACTTCACATGTCCGATCATGCCTTGTTCCCCACGGCCTTTCTCACACACACACACACACACACACACACACACACACACACACACACACACATACACACACACGCTCTGTCCTCAGGATGATACCGCACATCCCTACCCTGTCCTTGTCTGGGTCTGCCCTTATTTGACAGCTCTATCCGTTGACTTGGCTATCAACAGGCCCCTAGGACATAGACTCTCTGTCTGCTGTATGAAAGAAAACAAAGTTACAACCATTAGTATACAGTATGTTACTTTTAAAGCAGTTCAAGGTCTTCTGTCCAAATGAAACAAGAACAATCTCAGCAAGAATTTCTGATATACTTGCAAATGGTGATATGTAACATTTGGTTTCTTTTTCTAATGCACTCTTGTTGTCCTTCCTTCAGGAGAAAGAACCTCTGAGAATGATCCCACTGAAGGAAGTTCACAAAGTCCAGGAGTGCAAACAGAGGTATGTAACGTGTCCCAGCATTCTCCCATCGTACATCAGAAAAGCCTTTTGTCCAGGGGGACGGTGTTTACCTCTCCTGACTCAGATAGAGATATAGATGAGAGAAATATGATTTGACTTGTTTCCCACTTTTGTTGCAGCGATATTATGATGAGAGATAATCTGTTTGAAGTCGTCACGACATCAAGGACGTTTTACATACAGGTAGGATGCTTTCTTTCAGCTCCAAGGAATGTCCGCTTGATTCTCACTCAAACCCTGGGATTGCTCTCTTGCTCTTCTCTCTCTGTCACTCACTATTCTTTTCTGTTATGTCTCCACCAGGCGGACAGTCCAGAGGACATGCACAGCTGGATCAAGGCCGTCTCAGGGGCCATCGTGGCCCAGCGGGGGCCCGGGAGGTCGGCTGCTACAGTATGTATTTTTGCAGTACACTATAAAACAGGGTCACCGTCATATGGGCTCAGACTTCATGACTTCAGACTTGATCATCATCTAGTGGTCCAAAGAGTCGAGTCAGGACTGTTGCCATGACTTGTTTGTGTTGTTACACTCATGTCAATGATTGATTACTGTTTGCAGTTTCTTGCTCTCATAAGATCTCACACAGCTGCAGAGAATCTCCTTTTTGACCTCATCTCAAACTCATGCGAAGAAGCAGATACTTTGTTCCAGATGAGTTCCCCCCGTGAGTTTATTGACGTATCTCCAATATATTTAGCCCAGCAGTTGCGGCTGTGAAAAGATGAATCGAGCTTAATTGTGCTCACAGCCATACAGGTACATTTTCTACCAGGCCCTAAGAAAATGATTATATGTATTAATAGATCTTTTTAATGAGCTATTTTCAAGGTCTTTACCTTGAACTTGAAACAGCCTTTCCGGCATTTGCCTCACCTCTACGCAATACCCAACAGCCAAATACAGATTTAGCTTTTTGGCCGTGTTGTTCTTTTCTCACTCACTAATTGACAAATACCAGGAAATAACGGGGGAGAGAGACGTTGCGTGTTTTGGGCCTGAGCCCCTGAGCCACCATGCCCCCGGCCCGCATACAGATTTATTTTTACTGAAGTAAGTCATGAGTAGGCCATAAATGTTGAATGACTACTGTACTTACTGTACCATAGAATGTGTGTGGGAACTCTCCCTGAGTTGTAGAGCCACATAATGAGCTCCATCAGCCTGAGAGCGGCAGCCCGAGCTGAGCAGGAGGACGTTAAGCAGATCCACATCCTGACTGCAGAGGAGAGCGTGTCCTCTGCCGTCCTCTGGCTGTCAATTTCTCTACAGTCCCCTCTTTCTTCCCTCCTGTGTCTCTCTCTCTCTCTTCTGCTTGTTTTACTCTCACCCCCATGTTCCTCTCTCTCTCTCTCTCTCTCCCTCTTCTGTACTTTTCTCCTCCTCACGTTCTCTCCACCTGCTCCTCTCCCTGTGGGCAGACAGCCCATCTGCTCTAATACTGCTTTGCACTGTGTTGTTGCAGATGCGGCAGGCCAGACGGCTGTCGAACCCCTGTATACAGAGGTATACGTCTCGAATCGGGGAGTGCAGCAGCACGTATGTCAGCTCGTCTAAATCCCCCCCCCCCCCTTAAGCTATAAGTTGACCTTTTTTTAATACTGTTTTCCACTCACTGGCTGGCCCCTCTGCGGTTGTCGATATTATAAAAGCAGATCAGATCTGACGGCACATCTGATGCTCTGATAACCCAACAAGCGCTCCTCCCTTCACGCCCTTGTTCTCGCTGCTTCTCTCATCCACCCCTCCTCCTCCTCCTCCTCCTCCTCCTCCTCCTCCTCCTCCTCCTCCTCCTCCTCCTCCTCCTCCTTTGCTTTCCTTTTACTTTTTGCCGCACCGTCACTTTAAGCTGAGCTCAAACTTTGAGCCTATTTCCCTCCGTGCACTCAGACAGTTCCTATTTTAAAGGAAAATCTTGTTTCAGGAGTTTTTTGACTTGAGGTGAGCTTGATTTATCTTCCCTCACATGTGATGACATTCTCCACAAGCAGGGCCAACTGAAATCAAGCGAACCTCAAGTTAAGGAAATGCAATGAAGTCATATTTGTACTCTTTTAACAGCTGAGATATGACGAACTAACCTCGGAGAGACCTGCAGTCACTGCCACCTTCCCTTCCTCCTTTATAGCTTTACCTGCACAGCTTCCACCTGTCTTCACTGTTATTGATGATGCTTCGAGTAAAGAAAATAAGAATATACATGAATTCATATACAACCCATACTGCATGACCTACCTGACCAGCTTAGCTATGATGTGTGAAGCCTGTTTCTGTGTCTTTGTGACTGGGTCCATGAGTCTCTCACACCTTCTGTTTCTCTCCCCCTCATGCTCTGTTGTCTCTGCAGTCTGCTGCAGCTGTGTACCTGTCTTAGATGTGTGACATCCTGCTTGTCTCTCCTCCTCCCTCCTGTTCGCTGCCTGTATGTTTCTTTCTCTTTCTGATATACACCATAGTCTTTTACCTTCTGTGTGCTCAGTGTTTTTTAACAGTTTGAAATGAGGACTCAACAATGCCCAAGTCACAAACTAATGTTTTTTTTTATAGAACTCTGTTGATTTACATGTGAATATGTTGATGTGTGAAAGTTGTTTGGGCTTATTATCTGATCTGACGACTTAATAGCCCCTAAAACTTAGTATAAGCTTGATCTCTGACCTTTGAAATCAGCACAAAGCATCTCTTAAATATCTGTGAGTCTCCATAGTCCCTAAGATTGTTAGATATCCTTGTGCTAGGAAATGTATTCTTACATTTTGTGATGCTTAAGTGGTACTTTGTGGATTTGCTCACCATTTTCGCAAACCTTCAAAGTCACAGTGCTGCTGTGGTTGAAACTACAAATGTGGATCTTATTAGTTATATTTGGGTCTTGATGCTTTATAGTTGGGATGTTTTTTCTAACCAACAATAACACCAACTTCTCAGTGCCATCCCTCTCTGCTTTTGGGACTACTTTCTTTTTCCTATGCTTCTGTTTTCTTTTACAGAGATTGAAATCGGACAATGAAAAGCTGTGAAATAATGAGCAACAACCAACAGCTGCTTTCTAAGGCACTCTGCTCCTCCACTTCAACCTGTTGAGACTACCAAACTAAAACACTACTCCCACTATTCCTGCTACCTCAACTGCTACTACTACTACTACTACTACTACTACTACTACTGCTACTACCACCATCTCTACTCTCTAGCAATGCTCCATTCTTCAGCATCTTCAACCTTCAGTACCAACTCTGCTTAACCTGCGTCAGGCTCCACATGCCGGTGCTAATTCCAAGTCTGTAACTTTCGGTTTCTCCATTAAACTCCACAGGATTCCACGTTGCTTACTAACACCCACTGTCTTTGTTCCTGCTCTCTCTGTGTCCTCTTGCTGTGTCTGCTGCAGGAGCACGGCCGTTCCACTTTCTACCGCAGCCCCGCGGGCCCCCCCGCCCCTCGCTCGCCCATATCTGCCATGCCACCATGCTACCCAGAGTGGGGGGCTGCTGTCCCGTGCGGTCCACGCTCGCAGCCTGGCGTGGGACAGCGAGCACTTCATGAGTCTGCTGCCACGGCCCAGTCACAGCCGCACGCCAGCGCGCCTGTCCCTGCAGGAGAAACCGCGCCTGGCAAAGTGACCCCCCCACCCACCTGAGATCACCATCAATCACCCGAGGGAGTCACCGTGGCGACGGCGGAGCAGCTTCGAGCCCCACATGCCTGAACCGCCCCTGGACCTGGATGACGCCGACCTGCCGGTGAGCGAGGTCTGAGACGCTGCACTGGACATTTTGAAACTTGCTTTTCAGGTGGATGCTGACAGCGATTTAAAAAAAGGAAACCGTGTGAGACTGGTAAAAAAAAAAATGGGAAGACGTTGGCGGACAATTTATAATGTCACAAACTTCCTCCGTCAGTGTGCTAAAGAAAGAAGTTAGGTCACCACTGAACTGCCAAAGAAGACGACCCAGTTTCACCCCCCCCTTCCTGCTTTCCCAATTACAATGGTGTATTTACAAGATGATGTTGTCAAACAAAACCACACATTTGAGTTATTTTGTGCCGATTAGAATTCAATGACAGAGCTTCATTTGAACCTGTACAGGTGAAGTGATGTGACGGAGGATTTTTGTAAACCACTTTGTGCCAAGAAAATAAGGGAAATGTCATGGTCGCAAACTATTTCCTTTATCCTAGAGAGCAACGGTGTTCAAACTGAGGAATGGATATTCATCACCTCCTATATACTGATTAAGAGTGTGTAGTCCATTCATACACTCACATTGTAACCCTGGATTTCACTTCCAATGTTGGCCGGCAATAGAGATATGGTTTAAACCTGAGTCTGAGATTGAATGTAATATTTCAATTTCAAAGATTTTGGACTCTTCTAGGACAAGATGCAAACATTGTAGGTATTCAACATAAGCCATTGTGTAGTAATAATTACGAAGAACAAGTAGCTCACATGTAAATCTAGTTTCTACAGTTGATCAGTTATTGTTATTTTCAAAGCTAAAACAGTACATGCATCACTTCAGTTCAGAACCAGCATCTTTTGCAAGCTAGATTCACGCATACCAGACTTTGTGAAGCTCGAGGACGCGGGAGGCAAACAAGACATACAAGGAGTACGCTTGTAAGCATTTTGTAATTCTCATAGTAATAAAAACTTCAACAATAGGGCTCTGTCAGATATAGGTAAGGTTCCTTACAGATAATAACTGTCTACCGGCATGGCGTCTAACCTGCAGTCCATCGTTTGAAGATGAGTATTAACACCATGCAAACTATTTGGTTCAGTTAAACGGACAAAAACCTTTAAGCTCAGACTCTTCCGTTGCATGTTAACTTTTTAATGATTCCTCAGATTGTCTTTCTGTTTTTTAGTTTTTATTAATGGCGGCTCTGTGTGTTGTGTGTTTGCAGAATAGAGCTGTGTGAAGCAGATTTATTTTTTATATGCTCTAGATGTTTCCTAATCTAATGCTGTGTCCCTTTTTTGCCAACCCAGCAGCAGGCAGCTGCCTTATGGTTTAATTTAAGGATGTTTCACTGTAGTCCTGTTAAATAATACACACTAACCTTTTTTTGTTAAGTGCCTGCTTAATTTCAGACCAACCTAGTCAAGCTGTTCCACCCCATTTCAGTCTGGTGTAATCGGTTTGAATTGTCTCTATTTATTATGTGGATGACTTGAAAGAAATAAACACTGAAAATGTGCTCAGGTTTCCTGGAGAAACATTCTGTGTTTTGCTTTGATATATCCACACAGCACAATTAGTCTGAGGGTAAAGTCAGCTGTAGGAAATCAAAACAATATTTGGGGTAACTCTTCAAGGCTTCTTCTGCCCTCTTGTGGCGAGAGAATATCTTCACTCTGGTTCTTCCATTTACTGCTGCACAAGTCATCAGTTATACATGATTTACTCACACAATGACTGAGTTATCAGTGATATAACATATCCTCTTGGAAAACACCTGCAACAAGCACAGAAGCACATATGTATTCATTTCTAGAAATTAAATTAGGAGAAATTAGTTTTTTGTAAGCATATACTATATTTGTACTAATACCAAACAAATAATCGAATAAATGATACATTCATTTAACCGTTAAAACTGATAAGTGCCCAATCAGTTCACAAATGTTTTATGATCAAATGATCACAAGATGATTCCCCTGAAAGCTGAATAAATATAATATTGAGTTGCAAGTATCAATCTGAAAACAAATGTTTTTCTTTGCATGTACATAGTGTGAATGAACTAAATATTTACTTATTTTCAGAAGCATTCCTGAAGCAAAAATAGCCCCTGCAAATGTTATTATGGTATTGATTATTCAACTTTTATTGCAGGGTTGTATGTTTTTGTTTTAAAAAAATCTTAATTTGCACTAAAGCTAAGTACAATATTCCTCTTTGAGTCAGAGGAGTTGATCTGTCGAACTTTTATTTTTTATTTAACTAGATAAAAGCATTGAGATAGAATCTCATTTGCAATGCTGACCTGGTCAAGAAGTATAAAGTCATACGAAATGAAGTAACTCACAAGTGTACTCTACTTGAGTTAATATACTCAATCACTGCACAAAGTATGCATTTCCTGGACACTGATGAATTAGACATGTTTGTCTGCCTATCATTCATCAGCTCCTAATGAGGTGCTATGCAGCCTCTGGCTTTATAGCTGCAGTATGTGAAAGATTTACAGAGTGAGGTCATACAGCAACACTGAATATGTAAAGCCTCTTTAATCTGTCAGATAACCAGCGGCGACACGTTCTGGGCTGCAGTCTGAGAGTGCAGCGTGATGGGGATCCTGCATTTGAAGGCACCAGAGGGTTGATAAGTGTGATGTCAAGTGTTTTCACAGAAAGATTTGAAAACAACATGGCTTGGTGTGTTTCGTCAGGAAGCTAGTTGTCTTTACCTCATTCTCCTCATATATTATCTCAGCTCCTTATTGGAGGATGCAACACTTTGGTGTGGCTTCGACGTGGAAGCGAAGCCCCATTTGGAATCTCAGGGGGCCGACTCACAGCCAGAGACATCACTGCAGACTGGAGAGATCACACAGACCTCAGTGGAGTCCATCATTGGTTAAAATCTAGCCTTGTTTGGAGAATGATGAGGTTGTTTTCATCTGACGATTTTCCCACCACTTCTCGCCCTACATCCTTATGCTCTACAAGATTGCAGCATAATGGTTCTGGAGATGCTGCAAGGTCTATACTCTATACTTATTCTTTTTTTAGATGGGTCAACAGTGTGTGTCGTAATTTTGGTGCTCTGAAAACAATTAGTCAACCTGGAATTCTGGGAAACAAGTTAAACGTGGTACATTTTCTCTGTTTCCTGTTCAAGGAAGTCCCGTCTTTAAGATGACTTGCCCTTTATCCCGTTATGGCCCCCGCTTTAAATTGCCTTTAGATAGAGAGGCTTGTGTTACCCATGAGCTCTGGTGCACCGCAGGGAGCCTCAATTCTCTCCATTTTAAGGCAATGCATCTGAGAGGTGCTCCCCTGCCAGTCATTCCAACCTTTAGACATTAAACCTCTTGCCTGCACTCATCACAGTATATTGAGGCGGTTTATGACACTGATGTCATTGCCTCTTTTTAACTGGATTCCTTACAGTTCACAGCAGACGTCTAAAACAGAGATTGTTGTTCACCAGGACTAAAGGTTGCTCCCTTAATATGTGAAAACCTATGTTATTTTAATAAATAATAAATGTCCAAGCTTATTTTTATTGTATTTAGAGAGAAATGTAGTTTTTCCAATGTAGGGGCAGATTCGTATAGAAATATTAAGATTACTTGAAGTTATTTACATTTGAACGTGGGGAGCTGTAATTATAGTTATTTGGATATCCCCATTAGATGTTGTTTATATTCCTGCTAGCGGGGTGCTTATAACCCACAGAGCTGGGATAGGATCATAAATAAATAAATGTGCTCGTGCAATTTCCAATTAGAACAAATTTGACTGTTTATAAGGGTTGTTCACAAAGTGCTACATTAACTCCACAAATCCCACAATCCACCAACTTTTTTTCCACTACTACTGATTTTCCCAATTAGCCAGAGGGCTCGAGAGGATGCCAGGAGTGACTAATTCATAAAGGGAGTAGTAAAGGTACAAAAAACAAGCAGGAACTAGGCCTGCAGGATGTCTGTGCAGCTTATAAAACATCTGGGCTTTGTGGCTCATTCCCCTACTGGGTTGTACATTTTCTTTTTTGTAAATAACAAAATCCGAGTTGATGCCAATATCTGCCATGAAAGACCATAGAGCTTGTCTCTGATTTTCTGCAAGAGGTTCTGTTGGATAACCTTGACCTTGTCAATACACCTTGAGGGAAACAGGAGCAAGGATCATAATAGTTGGCAAGTCTTTTTGCCATGCTGCTACTTTCAAATATTACATTTGAGTGATTCATCTCTTGTATCCCATGCAGGCTTTTTTCTGCTATTTATTTTATTTTTATTTTACCCTCACACTTCTGAGGACCAATCAATAACACCGTTCTTCTGATTCCTACGTTACGTGAACGTACCAATCACCAGGCTTGTTGTGATTATCTAGAAAGTGAGTTGCGTCTGATGCGGAGTCAGTAAAAACGTAGAGGTCGCGTAATTGGGTTTGTGCAGTGAAGTTCAGTTAAATGCCTCTCCAGCTCAAGTGACTCCCCCCCTCATTACTACTGAGCTCTCTCATCCCATTGCCACTGCAAGCAGAGAGCGAGCTTTAGGAACTTTTTTAAACTTTATATTTAAATTGGAAGACTTTAGTTTTATACCATGTTTTGGTCACTCCTGTGCGTAATGGTAGTCTTTTCATCCGTGCCGGCAGATGCGCAGATCTCCACCCGGTATGTTGTCGGATGTCCTGCTCGGTGTGACAAGTCGATGTGTCCCCGGATACCGGCGTACTGCCCGGCGGGACAGAGCCTCGACGCCTGCCACTGCTGCACGGTGTGCGCGTCCGGCGAGGGCGAAGGCTGCGGCGGCTTGGGGAAGCTCGGGGACCCGGTGTGCGGAGAGGGGCTGGACTGCTCGATCCCTGGCGGGGTGGGATACAGTATCACGGTGAGGAGGAGAAGCAAGAGTGGGACTTGCGTGTGCAAAACCACCGACCCGGTTTGTGGAAGCGATGGGGTGTCCTACCGGAATGTCTGCGAGCTGAAGAGGGTCAGCCGCCGCGCGCAGAAGCTGCAGCAGCCACCTGTCCTCTTCATTCAGCGGGGAGCCTGCGGGAAAGGTAACGCTGATAGGGTCGTATTAATCACCATCAAAGACCCCAACACTGACTGAGAAGTTGATCTGGTAGGAAGTTGTGAGGGTAAAAAAGTATAGGCCACTCTGTATTTACAATAGTTATGCTAAGTAAAAATGTTTTTTAAATCTCACTTTCAGATAAACAGTTTATTCAGTCACAGCATGTACAGATAGACTAAAGTACATATGTAAATGTTCTTTATGGTGTGATGTTGAGCCTGAAGCTGCATTCAGTGGCACACAATCCCCATGTGTCCAGGATAACAACAGTCAACTGTGTTTCCCTCTTGTTGCTGAATAACAATTAGACTCCCATCAGAGAACTGTTTAAACCTTTGCCCAGTTGAATGAAGTCACCCATGAAGTCACCCATCTCTCCCTGATGTAAAGCTTTATGTGCAGTCACATGGATATGATCCATATGATTGTTTTATACAATACAGTTCATGCCAGTGCAGTCTGCATTAGCTGAACAGAAAGGAATTTGATAAGAAGGATAGTGTAGGCCGTTATTAAGAGGTACTGAAGCAATACATTGGTAATAACTGGTATGTGTGGGTGTTTCAGTATGGACCAGCTGAGTGTCATGTGAAAAGTATTTCACCCTAACCAGTGGAGCTAAAAAATAAACTGACATAATTCTTCACTTGTTCTGCTGCTTTATGAAACAGCCCAACTGAGAACTCAAATGTCAATGTATTCAGTGAGTCCTTTATCATTATTTACGGTAAACAGAATGTATATTATCGACACATCAGGACTGAAAAACATTAGCACAAACACACAGGTGTTAAAGACATTGAACTGAAGTGTGCACCACATCTGCAGCTGAACAATTCTTCAACACCTGTTGCCTCAAAGACCTTACCTCAAAGCTTGGAAACATATTCCCCCCCCTCCAGCAACCCCCAAACTCTTTCCTCTCTCTCTTCTTTTTCTCTTTCAATGGGTCTTTCCCTCTCTATTTCTCTCCGTTTCTGTTGTCACTCGTAAATCACACTTCAGTCACATGAAGGAATGTCTGGCGCTGATTCAAAGCCATAATTCCTCCTCCGTTGAAGACAGTTTAAAACAGGCAGGAGACACAGAGGAAAACACAAAATTAGCAACCTATATTTTTGGGAAAGGGTTTACATATACATCAAAAACTGTGTGGGCGCGGTAGTAGCACAGACTGTATCGCCACATTTGTTTTTGAGTCATGTAAACAACTCAAATGGTTACGTTTCGCCCAAAGAGCTAACCATGTCTGAAACAGAGCAAGTCTGCGGTAAGCATACTGATTTTCCAAGGTTCCGAAGTGAACATTTCCATACCTGCAATAAGCATTTCACATTTAATTTGATACATCAGACATCCAAGCATGTCTCCTGATTTAAACTTCAGCATTAGATTTGATGTGCAGGGGATGACACTGAAAATAAACTCAACTCCCCCTTTGAGAGACTTTAACTATACCC